ACGAACACTATGTTCTTCGTCACTCCGCGATCACCGTGCAAGCAAGACTTTGGTCTGAACCAGACCTGGGCAGTTATGAGATTTCGACTCATAGTTAGAGTTAAGAGTTATTCGCAGCTCGCGAGTTACGCTACGAGTTAAGTTAGCCGCAATAACTAGAGTTAACTGGAGTTAACTTCTAATAAAAAAAATCATGATTTTATTAATCCACTTCAAGTAGTCTTTTATGCATGCCGATATCACTTTCACCAGATTTGAGACACAGACCATTGCTAATTTTTTTTTCTTAAAACTGATTTTGAAATTCATGCTTTTTCTTAGGTTTCTTTTTCATGTTTTTCCTGAGGGAGAGAGCGAGAGACGCATTATTCTTGAGGGAGGAAGATAAAATATAAATGAAACATAAGAAAGAAAGAAAGAAAGAATAAGAAAGAAACAAAAGAATGAAACGTAAGAAAATATAAATGAAACATAAGAAAAAATAAGAATGAAACAAAAGAAAGAAACATAAGAAAACATCCTTGTGTTTTTTTTGGTTTTTCTTCTTATTGTTATCTCTCTCCCTCAAGAAAAAATCAAACATAAGAAAAGTCCTTATCTGACAAAATTTCTGCCTCTTTTTAACCACACAAAAATTCCTCCTTCTCAAAATTCCTCCCTCTATTTGACCCTGGCTTTTTACGGCCGAGCGCCGGCAACGCTGAACTTTTTTACTATGATTTCGCTTCACACGGCTACCGAAGTTAGTGTAGCTGTTTGACAGTGTTGACCGCGTTATTAAGCTTCCCTAATGGGCAGGTAGCGAAGACGCACAGACGATCAATTCGCGTGTGATTTTGGTGCGGAACATGATTTGTCCTCGCGTTGGCAAAATTTTGCTCCGCAAAAAATTACGTTCTCTGCACGCTGTTAATTTAGCTCAAATTGAACGATCACACTCACTGTCAGCATGGACTCCCCTAAGCATAATCATCTAGACAAAGCCCTGGGCGGTCATAGTGTACGTCGGCTCGAGAAATTTCGGGTACACACATACTTTTGTAATTATGGCAATTTATGCGATCCACGGTTAAAATACCTTTTTTTCTGATATTTTCTATATTTTTGTTTCATTTTTGCTTTCACCTGAAACCCGCAGAGTTACGTTAAACTCGAGTTGCGCTATATTATTTTTGAGTTGCGCTAGAGTTAAGTTTTCGTCCTGGCGAGTTAAGCTTCAAAGTTAAGTTTCAACTCGTTAAGCTTCAACTCGTTAAATCGAAAAAAACTCGCGTTAAGTTAAATAGTTAAAATTAACTGCCCAGGTCTGGTCTGAACAGTACGCGAAGTTGACTAAGACTTCCAAAGCATTCAAGGTGTGCTTATGACGGGCTGATCAGTACAAGACATAGAACATGGCGAACCGATTCGCAATAACGGCAATATAAACCGCTTTGATGCTGTAAGCCTGTAACGTCGAAATTGCTATTTCTCTCGATATCCAGAATTATAACGGAACCTTCGTTTTGCTAAAACAATTTCTATTTTATCCTTAAATGTTTCATTTCACGAACAGATTTACGATTTGGTCTATCGACTCTATCGCCGAGCCGACCAAACTGGCGATGGAGTCGATTCAGCACTTGGCGGCTGTCTCCTAAACCAATTGTTCTTACGCCAGCCGCGGCCTACTGATCTACTTTTTTTGTGTTTCATACATACGTACGTAACGTATGATCATGAATAAAAAGAGTTAGTCCCTATCAGAGAAACATGAAAACCAACGGACTGAACGGAGATATCGAGATTAACGCTGAACAGAGCGAATGACAAAAATGACTTTGCAGAGCGGTCGGTGTTTTTTTGCAACTGATTTCAAATCCGGCTTGTAAACTAATGTTGTGGCCCGTCTTTCGACGCGCCTTTTACTGATCGCTGAACAGAGACGGTTGCCAATCATCAGTCATTAAAATCATCCGCTGCCGATAAATCTTTTTTTGTCACCTCTGCGACGGAAAACTAATTATGGCCGTTTTCGCAATACTAACGCGTCGACGTGCGATAAAATGGACAACGGTCAGATTGGGTTGCCTCTGCTTTTTGTGGTACTTGTAGTTGTCAATCAACATGCTCGAAGATTGGTCGCTTCCAGCCTTTCTGCTACATATATATTTTGAAGAACCGGCCTTCGGCTACCATGCATGCTGCGTGTTACATGATGACCTGCTGTATTATTCTACTCGTACATCTAGTTGTGACCGGTTGGTTAAAAGGAAAAATTAAAATGATCGGTCTTGGAGAAAACCGAAGTACTGATGTAAGACCAAATAGTTAATGTAGTACTCGAAATGCCTTTAGTCATTTCTCGGCAAATACGAGGGTGTTCTAATTAGTCACATATCTGAAAGTATCACATCAGTACTTTAATTTGAATTTATGCACATAATTCTACAGACCAGCGAGATCTGAAAACCAGTGGTCATAACTGCTTACGGAAAAGACACCTCCAGTTGCAGCAAACATAAAACGCTTTAAGTCGATTTAAAAATTTCCATGATCGCAGGAAAATCGAGTGATGAGCGAGAACAACTTGCACAAAATTACAACATCTATATAGTGGAGATTCTTAAAAATATTGTCACAATACAGTGTCCTTACCACGAGATGGTGAGTTTAACTAAACCGGATTTACAGATCACTGCCAGGACATGGTGCAGAAACAGCTTTGGCATCCTTCGCATCTCAATTTTGACCACGTCCCTAGCACTGAGATGTTCCGGGTCAGAGGACTGTTGTGAATTCCAGTAGACGAATCCACTTTTCGGTAGTTCTTCCTTCAGCTCCAATAAGTTCTAGAGAGAGAGAGAGAGCAACGAACCGAGGAGCGTCATGCATCTACTCCCAAAACCTTGCTTTTAGAGGTTACCATACCAACAAGAAATCTTCCCACTTGACTCTCCCATTTTCGTCCTTGATTTTACGAGCCATCCAGCGCATGGTGCAATCCATTTCCTGCTCTGTCAGCGCCGGCGCACCATCGTCCATCGTTTTGGCAAAATCGACTGAACCGACCGGTTTTCCTTCTACTAAACGTCCCTTGGCGATGCGCACTTTGTAAATAACGTCACTATCATCTTCATTCCGTAGAGATGAACGTAAAATCAGTGTGATGTTACGGAGTATCACAGTCTGGCTGCTGGCACACCGATGCCAGTTCATCCAATTCACTGCACTTTGTATCCTCGTCGGCGTTCAAGTCCAAACAGGAAATAAGCAGAGTGCGGGGCGCATGGAACCCGAACTGCTCCATGAGGCGACTGAGGAACTTGGCTGGGAAACCACATGGACGGTCATGAACTGGAGAGACGTTAAGGATGACGGTGGGAGCCCAGCACTTGCTGGCGCAAACAGCGTTCAGATATTCTTCTTCAGGACGACCCTCTATCTGCTCCGCATCCGAGTTGACCCGGCCAGAGTAATCCAAGCGCAGCTGGTGTTGAATTCGTGCCACTGTTAGGACACCGTTCCAGTCGCTGCACACCTTACGATATCGGCAACGGACCGGAGTATCCAGGCATTCAAATATATCAGCTAAGATATTAGCGGGCAGTACATTAACATACCGGTTTCGTCGGGCTCCTTGCCGTGATTGAGTTTCCGGCGCTTGATCGGACTACCACATCTCCCCGTTAACCCTGTTGTGTTCGGTCATTTCCTGACGAATCCAGAGCGGGGAATGTGTGGGTTCTTTTGAGTTCCTGTTAAATGTGCCAACATTTAAGGATGTTGTCAGCAGTTAAAAAGTGCGATCCTTCATTGCTCGCAATATTTGGTGAATAAACCGCGTCGCGACACCACCAGCAAAAACTGCGGGAGACGATACATACCCGGCGCGATCCCACCGCTACTGTTTGACAATCCTGCTGTGTCACAGCCACGTATAGGTTGTTCGGATCCGATTCGCAGGGACAATTATCACTTTAGCGGACGCGTTGGGTAGAAGAATGCTGGCTAAACCGAAAGTGCCTCGGCCGCCATCGAACTACAGAAGAATGCCTGGGTACCCTTGCAACGGCTGATCAATGCCCAGTCGTATCAGTACCTCCACAACCATCCTTCCTCTGTCTGGAAGAGGAGAAAAAAAACAAAAAACTGAAAAAGTCTTGTTGTAAATACCGTATATCCCTCTATAAAGATCTGTAGACTCAAGACAATCGTGAAACGGTTTACGGGCACTACATAACGAAAGAAAGCAGAGAAGCTCGAACAAACAAATTGATATCCTGTTCGTGTCTTACGGTTTTTCAGTTCTCCATAGAGTTCTGGACGAACACTCTTTTCGCAGAAATACACTCTCTCGTATGAAGCTAACTGCGTAGATCCAGTGTATTTCCCCGTTTGCGCCGCAACCAGGATGTCCTTCTCATCGGCACGATCGAACGTCCCGCGCTGCAAGAAACCGTCATCACCTTGAAAATCTACCAGAAGGCTCCGGCGCCTGCCGTCATCGTCGGAACAGAGACGCTGCTTTGGTTGTGCAGAATCCATCAAATGTTTGCTGAAGCCAACTCTAACTAGACAAACTAAATGGAAAGTATTAAGAAAGTATTAAGAACACGGAAATAAAAATTATGGGGTGTGTTGTTTCCAATTGTGCAGTCCGCACGCAATAACAGGCACCACAGCCCCGCTTGAGTGTCTTCTGTGTTATTGCTGGACGTCACTGGAGGTTTGCACTGCCCGCCACCCAGAAAACCGTTATTGGCTGCCCTTATACGACAGCGACTAGTAATCCCGCAATAAACCACGAACAAAAACAGGTAAAAAGTATGAAGGATCATACGCATACGCTGTAGGTTGGGATAGACAGCATTCCTGGATTTGTGTGGGATTGAGAACAAAATCGTATGATATTTTCCTGTCCGTTGAACATCATTATCAATTACAATCCACGGCTATCACACAATACGCTACCGAGATGATGGCAAAATTTACACCAGGAGGCACTTATAGTTAGGGTTTGTCCTTCGCCTCGAAAGGAACCGACAGCAACGACAGTCACAAACAATCACAAGATTCACAACTAACCGAAAACCGAATTCGTTGCGGTACACGATTTACACCTGATACTCAACCGTGGGCATTCTAACAAAAGGAAAGCAATAAACGAAAGAACGACCTTATTCCAGGCACCATGTCATTTGTAGAAAGTACTAAAAGCCAATCACGCTAAACACAGCCATCATTCCACAACGATATCGTCCTTAAGGGTATGAATCAGGCGTCCCGGAGAGCCCCTGCCAGTAAGTAGTGCTGCAAGTATTTGGATAGTTTCAGCAGCTCCAATCTAGCCAAGTCTTTCGCGGTGGGATGTGCCATCTGGAGGGTGATCTGGGAAGTGCCGATAGCAGCCATTATATCCGCAAAACCCGTCGGCATCTCCAGCAAAGCCTGGCAATTGACCAGTGTATATACCATGATGCATCCGAATACAGTTTCAGAAAATGCGGACGGAAATTTACCTGTTTGACGTCGTCCCATGCAACGCATCCATTCTGATCCCGGTGGCGGTTGCCCATCCCGTCCAGGACAAAACCCACCTGTGTTTCCGTCAGCTCCGGCATACTTTCTACCCAGATCTTCATCCAGTCCATTCCGTTGATCTGTCGGCCTTCATCCAGAAGGCGGTTAGTGCTATGCACTCTCAAGATTTTGCAGCCACCCACCGACTCCACACTCAACACAGGTGCTGGGCCATTCCGTACAATCAGAGTCTGGCACCGCGATAGAACAGCAACAAGCTCCTCGTGAATCTCCAGAACGTTCCAGAGCAGATCGGATACAATTAGAGTGCGGGGCTGACGGTGTCCGAATTTTACCATGATACACAGAAAGTTGACGGCCGAAAACACTGGCTCGTCATTGCCAGCGGAGCCGGTGATAACGATGGTGGGAGCCCAGCACTTGCTGGCGCAGACGGCGTTCAAGTACTCTACTTCAGGATGGCCCATGTTCTCGTCCGCATCCTTGACGCGGGTACCGTAATGCAAACGCAACTGGTTCTGGATACGCGGCAGAGAAAGAACGCCGTTCCAGTAGCTGCACACGCGGCGATAGCGACAACGGACCGGAGTCTCCAAGCATTCAAATATTTCCGCTAAGATGACAGCAGGCAACGTGTTAAGGCTTCTCTCATCAACCGAATCGGGAGCAGATTCCAAATGATCGGGACTGTTTTGGTTGAGACCCTCTGGCACTGCCGTATCTAACGATTTAGGAGTCGTTGGTGACGTATCCTGAAGAAAAACACGTGCTTTACCAGTAGAAGTTTTGGTGAAATCGTGCCAGTATCCAGTATCTTGACGATGGTCCGCGCATTGGTGGCTGCAGTAAACTATCCACATGACACGAAAATTCAGAATAGTTGAACTGAGGATTACCTTCGTAGATCCTGCTGATAATTCGAGGCAATCTTGCGGCGTCAGGGCGACCCATTTCGTCAAATGGGTGCGGATCCGATTCGCGGGGACAATCGCTGTCACAGATAAACTAGGCTGGCCAATGCTGACCACGCCGAAAGTGCCTCGACCACCATCAAACTGCATCTAAAGCTAGATCCAGAATGGATCCAGAGACGGAGACAGAAACGGAATCTATCCCGTGGAAGTGAGCGATACGACCTGGATCGCGAACTATGCGGAAACACAAACGCCGCGCCGTAAATCGCTGACTTTTAATAATATTGAAAGTCTGCACAACAGAAATCAACAAGTGATCGGCACAGCTCGATCGTAAAACGTAGAGCCCGTTCAACAGTGTGCAACACCGTGCAGCACGTGCTATGCCGCGCCCACTATCAAAACGCAAGCCAATCAGAAGAGACACAACACAGACACGTAATCCTAAGGCGTAGGGCCACAGGCGTAGCGCCACTAACGTGAACGCCAGTGATCCCGGTCTCACATGCCTCTGGGGGGATGCCGAGCTCCTGTGAGGCTGGACACACTCCCGAATCCACGAGAAGACGACGGTCGCCAGTGTCTGTGCGTGCTCAAAAGAAAACATCAAATTCTCTTATTCCATTTTATCACATCAATTCCATAAATGCACAATTCCATTTAATACGATGTGAATAAAGAGATCCAATTATAAAAATACTATCATAAAACAGATCAACAGTTATAAGATCAACAAAAGTATTAATCAAATGTAGACTAGGATCCTCCATTTCTGACTCGTAAAGGTCACAGGTCCTGTCCACCGTTTTCCGCACATTGGCCCATTCCGCTCCATTGAGCAATTCTGCGCATCCATAGTGCGACTTCATCACAATCCGCTTGAGAATCAGGTGCGTATCAAGTACGACTTAAGAATACTGCTTCAGTCTTTGGAATAAGGTGCGTATCAATTGTACGACTTCAAATGAGATCCATAAAGGTCATGGAGGGACGTCATGTAGACAAGCGTAGTCCGCTTCCTCCCTGGTAAAGGTCATCCTTTGTTGAGATGATCCGTTGAGATGTGCGACTCATTTTGGGTTAATGGTCCCAAAGGTCATGCGACTTAATTCCATTACGGTGACTCTGTTGGGCATTTGATGATCCCAAAGGTTATCCCTCTTCTGTTCAAACTTCCATTAAAGGTCATGGAGGAACTTAGCCAATTTTCTGCGGCTTTCAAGCACTTCTCTGCTTGCCTCCCTGGTAAAACTGCAATTTGACCTTTCCGTCGCACATCCAACTTCAATATGCCTCGAGCGGCCAGAGTGCCGGCAAAGTTCACCGTAGCATCTCTGATCGGGCCGGCTAGTTACCGCATTGAATTTACCCCATGAAATTTCCACATTTAATCTTTTACTCTTGTTCGCCGCCTGTGGCCCATGTTAATACGAGAAATCCGGCTCGATTACCGTAGTTTTTCTCGTTTCACCTTTAACACTGAATCGCTTAAGAAGAGTGCCGGCACAGTTTACCGTAACAACTCTAATGAGGCCGGCTGGTTGCCGCATTAAGTTAACCTCATCAATATTCCACCTGTTGTCTTTCTCTTTTTCGCCGCTTGTGGCCCCGTTTCGTATTCAAGAGATCCGGCTTGATTACCGTAGTTTCTCTTGTCAATTTATAACACTGAATCGCTTAAGGAGGAGAGCCGGCTAACTGCCGTAACTACTCCCTTGGGGCCGGCTTTATAGACCGAATCAATTTCAACCCCAATAGATATTCCACATGATTTCTTTATCCCTTCGATTCTGTGCTATAAACGCTGAAAACAACAAGTACACGAACGCGGTTTCAGTAATATGTTACGTGACCTTTATACTTTACCATTGCGCCTAGTTAGGCTATACCGTACTGAACTGAGACTTTCGCATTCAATTCTTATTCCGATGACCTTTCGTTACTTTAACGTGATGACCTTTCCCGTGCCATTTTTCAGTTCATTCGTCTCATTCTAACACGGTGACCTTTCACGCTTTTGACGTTTTCACCAGTTCTCCAGCGATAACTAATTAACATTCAACTGTTTCTGATCTGTTCGCCATTATTCGAGTACAAAGTTCTTCCAGTTCTAAGTTCACAGCCTTGTAACTCGAAAGGTCATGTCGTTCCATTTGTTCGACATATATTATCCAATGTCGCATCAGTTATGACCATTCTCCACGCATTTTGTTGTGCTCTGGCAGCATTTTTCATTTCGCTGGTGTACCGCACGTATCCGGTTTCTGCGGGAATGCCGAGTCCGTTGGTTCGGTTTCCTGACTCTGTTTCTCATCGATTGTCTATCTCGCCAATGATCCGGACGAAGACTGAGTCAATTCCGGTTCGTCAGTCTTCTCTTTTGCGGTTAAGTCTCGTGACCTTTTGGATTTCTCGGTCGTCAATGGAATCTTTTGACCTTTCGGTTTCTCCGTCGCTGAAGCCTCTTTCAACAGTGTAAACAACGATTTTTTGAACCACCTGTCGCGCGGAGTCCGCTTCTGCATCTACTGCCGCTCTTTCCATGGGGAGCACGACCTTCTCTTTCAGTCTCGTGACCTTTCGGTTGTTCCGTAGACACGGAACTCTCTTGACCTTTAGATTGCGCTTCCTTCTCCACGGTTCCAGACGTCTGTTGACCTTTAGGCTGTTCGTCTTTTTCTGTGAAAGTCCCGTGACCTTGAGTCGGTCTGTCGCTTGACCTTTCACTTGACACCTTATGGTTTTCTGTGATCCGGCTTCACAACCTCGTCTGATGACCTTTCATTTTTGCTGATCCAGATCTTTCGTGACCTTTTGGCTGTTCCATTTGGATTTCTGCCGGAGTCTCTTACCAATACGATTGACCTTTAATTTCTTCCGCTTTTACTTCGATCGACGTTTGCACTTCATTTTGTACTTCAGTCAGAGTCCGATGACCTTTCGACTGGACGACAATTTCTGAAGATTCCGAACTTCCGTGACCTTTTCGTTGTTCTATTTGAATTTCGGTCGGAGTATCTTGACCTTTCGATAACCTTTTGCTTCTCTCGTATGGTTCAGTCCGAGTCTGATGACCTTTCGACTGGAGGACCTTCCTGTTGACTTTTCATCCATGATGACCTTTCTGGTGTCCGTTTCAATGACCTTTTGACCTTTAACATTTTTGATGACTTTTCGTCAGAGTTTGTTGACCTTTCCACTATCAGCGAAAACGATAACGATTGGCTGATGAACTTCGTATGACCTTTACA